AAATTAAAAAACTAGTCTCAGCGAGATAAAACATATAACAGCGAGATAAATCAAATCTCAGCGAGATAAAACATATCTCAGTCGGATATGACAAATCTCAGCAAGATAAAACAAATATCAGCAATATGAAACAAATCTCAACGAGATAAAAGAAGCCTCAGTGAGATAAGACGAGTCACAGTGAGATAAGATATACAGTGGAACCTCGGTTCACGAATTTAATTCGTTTCTGAAGGCCGTTCGTAACGCGAAATGTTCGTAAACCGAAACTGTTTTTCCAATAGGAATCAATGTAGCGAAAAAAGTCACAGAACAATAAAATTGGAAAAGAAAAGCACGCCGCAAGACACGAATGTATACAACACGGCAATCGACTCAGAAATTATTCCGTTCGAGTTAACTCGGTTCAGCAATGTTGTTCGAGAACCGAAACTTTGTTCGATAACCGAGACATTTTCATCTCGAATTCTCTGTTCGAAAACCGACTTGTTGGACATGTGAGACGTTCGTGAACCGAGGTTGCACTGTGTATCAACGAGATAAAACATCTCGGCGAAATAAAACAAGTACCTACGAGATGAGACAAATCTCAACGAGATAAGAAAACTCTCAGCGAGAAACAAATTTTACACGTTCGAACATTCCTTATAACTTTGTATATAAATTACATAACTTTGTTTTTTCATTTGTGTTTTTTATTCGCATTCCTAGAATAAAAAAAAACATATATTTTACTATCGTTCACCCAATACAAGAACAAAGAACCCCTCAAGGTAGAGGGATACTGAATGAGAATGTTTTAAGGACATAAAGGGTGGAGGAAAGAGGAAGGAGCGCATATTGTGAGTAAACGTACGATAGATATCGGTTGACCCTTGATTCGACGAGGTTAAGATTCTAGATGTTGTGGAATCATCTTCTAGGGAGTTTGTTCCACAAAGTGACAATTCTGTGGAAGAAACTGTTTGAATAGAACTTTCTCCTTACCAAAGAAATGTTGGGTGTGTTGTTTTTCAGTTAAGACTAAACGTTCGTAATACCACCCAACGACAAAAACAGAATGAACCTTTTCGGATTTCCCTCCCCCACTAAGCCGTAGAGATGTGACTTGAAGAAGGTTCAAGGAATAGTTGATACTGTCCAAAACATGTCAACGCCGTGGTCCGGTCGGCAAGACTGTTGAGCTAGATGCTGTAAACTTCAAGGTGTTTTCCGCAAGACATCTGGTTTTCACAGAGAATAATAATATATATTATTTTCGAGCTTATTACATTCGTATATATATATATATATATATATATATATATATATATTCGCGAAGTATTTATAATAAAAGTAAAATTATACATAAAGTAAAATATGCTTTAGGTAACGGTGTTTTTCATATTTTCAATAATTAAAAATAAATAAATAAACCTACGGAAATTTTTTCAGAATCCACGTTACAGGATTATCGAACGAATAAGCAATGGCTTTCGTTGATTTTCCAATGACATCTGATATAAAATTCTTAAATCATATTCTTCTTTAACAGAAACATCGATAGAACGTCAGTTTGGGTTCACCATCTTATTTTCTGACAATTAAAACCATTCTTTTGTTTCTAAGGATTCACAGAGAATGATCGAGACCCATAGAATTGATGATATGAACTATAAACAATTCCTGCATTTTCTGCAACTAAGTGTTCTATAGTACAACAACAAGAGCAACTGGATCAAAAATTAACAAAATATTCAATATTCCTTGTTTGTCGTATTCAATCACATACACAAACACACACACACACACATCGTCTGAGTATCAGCAATGAATAAAGCCAGCTATGCTAATGCAAAGCTCTTCAATAAAATGAATGGGGCACTCAGGCTGATTGGCATTTGTTTACATTCATAAAAACAATACGCTAGATTTAGCTGCTTAACTCTGCCGTATGAAGATAGCACAGTGATAGAAACTCTGACTGACACCAAATCGGTTGTGTTTCAATCCTAGCTTGATGCATTCGGATACCTAGTCGCACTGAGGAGCTGTGATACAACGAAACAGTACTGTCTGCGAATGACATGATATATATATATATATATATATAAAAGTGAACATAGAAGTCAACACTTAGAGGCGACACTCTGTTTCATGCTAGATGCAATCGTCAGGCCATGAGTGCTGTTATTTTTCTCGGCTATTTATATATATATACGGGTCAGTGGTACATTGTGGGTAGTCTATTTGGGCGGTTATTTTACCGGAAGTCGTTTATTTGTTTATTTATTTATTTGGGTTAAATTATTTTGCCTGTTTTTATTTATTTTTATTTTTATTTTATTTTTTTCTTATCTTATATATTTATATATTTATTTATTTATTATTTTTTAATCGGTATTTTTATTAACGTAGTAAAAATTTGTTTATATCGCATATTTAATGGTTTTGTTTTGGTTTGGGAAGATAATTAAAGCTATTTATTCAATTTTAAGGTTGATTGTTGTAGCTTATTCTAACTATTATTTTGGCGGGAACAGTTTAAAATTTGTTTATTACTTCATGTATTTATTTGGATTGATTATCTTTATTTGTTTTTTCTAACGGTTAGTTTATCGGGATTAGTTTATTTGGATTAATTTAGGCCAATTTATTTTACTTGTTATTATTTATTTGTTATACTGTATATTTTCTCTTTTCGGTTTTCGATTTTTAAGTAACGTAGTATTTTTTTTTATCGTTATGTAACAGTTATAGCTTCTTTTTTTTCGTCTGATTTTTTGGTTTGATTTTTATAGTCTAACTAATATTTTGGTCATAATGGTTTTCTAATTTGTTTATTATTTACTTTATTTATTTGGGTTCATTGGTTTTTTGGGTTTTTTTAGAATGGACATTATGTTATAGATTTTCATTATAAGCATTTTTCCTGCTCTAAAACATCGTATCTAGCTTTATTTATGTGAGGTAGCTGATAACCTTTACACGACCATTTTTAGGAAGGTTGCTGCCATCTCCTTTCTCATTGTAAGAAATATGCTAAAATGAGTCTAACAGAGTCAATGTTCCATCTGTAGAAAACACGATTTGAATCATCCACATATAACCTTGCAATTATTAGAAATTTACAATAATTTATACGTCCGAAGACTTTTGCACGATACTGTATAATTCTAACAACACCTCATCTCAAAATTTCAGGCAAAAATGTCTTTTCTAATCTCTGCACCTTCTTGGTCTCACGTTTCCCACTGACATGAAGGGAAAATATTATCAATTCCTAGGTCTACTGCTAAAAAAAGTTGGTTTGCTACGTCATGCTAGACCATTTTCTCATCAGAATCTATCTTATACGTTTTTAAGTCTACCATTCGTCTGTGCATCAAATATTGCTGCCACATCTGTTCTGGTGCATCTGCTATATATCTAGAGATTCTTGACAAAATCCAAAAAAGAATCTGTAATGTTATCGGCCTGGGATCTCGGCTTCAGTCTCTTTTCCCACTGCTGTAACGTGTGCCTTTTCTATAAATGTTTTCATGGCAATTGTTCTGACGAGTTCTTCTCTTTAGTAACTTGACTTTACGCATTTAAGCGCGGTGCTAGATTGGCACATAGGTCTCATAATTTCACTGTTGAAATGGCTAAATGTAACCGTAGGCTGTGTCTTAATAGTTCCTTCTCTTGTCCGCGGAACTCTTTCAGTTTCTTGCTTTTCAGTCAATTATCATCTTCAAAAACTTAAATGCAACGTCAGTTGTTATCATTTTACAATCGAAATTGCAAGTTGTAACAATGACTTCTGTGCTAATAGTTTCTTCTGTCGCACTTCCGGTTTGTTGAACTCTTTTTCGGCTTCCTACTTTCCTGTTAACTACAATCTTCAAAAATGTCAATCATCATCGTCTGTCTCCTTAATTCCTGTTCTTTTATTTCCCTGTTTGTTAATTTTGCTCTCAATAACTAGCATCTCAGTGGTTCTGTTCGCCTTGCTTGGTAGTGAAATGATTAAAAAAGGATCATGAAATACGAGCCTTTTTCTTATATATATATATATATATATATATATATATATATATATATATATATATATTACAGCCGTTTGGACAGGTAATAATAACGATTGAGTCAATAAAGTGTGATTCGCCTTCTTAATAACTGAAAACATATTTCTAGCAATACTTTTACGCGAGTATATTTTCTCAGAAGATCGTCTCTGTAAATAGGCATTTTAGATTTTAGATTTCATTTCTAGGGCACAAGATACGGAAAGAGGGTTTGGAGAGTTTGACTCTCACAAAGCATACTGAAGGCAAGAACGGAGGAAAACTGCGAATAACCCTACCTAACGAGCTCGTGTAAATGGATCGCAGGACAGGGTAGTAGAACAGATAGTAAAAAGACATTGGTAAAACCTACAATTAATAAAACGTTGTGGAGAGCCGTTATCGCCCACGTCCTGAGGGAACAGGGCACATAGAAGAAGAAAGGTGATGGGGATTCATTTTGCTTCAAATAACTAAAGAAACAAAAAAAAAATAATGCTCAATTACTATCAGTCATTCTATATTGCAGTGAATGCTGGACATTTTCCTCACAGATGAAGAAGAAACGAGACAACAGAGATGTAGTTCTACAAAAGGTTGCTGAGAATACCATAAACTGGACATGTGAGTAACGAGGAAGTTTTAAGGATATTAGAAACAAAAAGGACACTTATATTTAAAACCAGAAAGATTGATCGATAGATTCGTTTTCTACGGTTTATCAACCCTTTGCAGGTTATTTTTAAAGCCAGAAAATATTTTTATATTGCAAGATTTTTCTTTAGATAATAATGATTTAGTAATACAAGGCTTACTAATTAACCCATAGCTGGAGGGGAGAAGATATGGATTCATACCTTTCCCAAGGGTATTTGCGCGTAAGTGGATATAAAGAATCCAACTAGAATTGGAACTCGGTCCCCCGATTAACAATTCTGAGCCATTATCCATTGCACCACACTCACATCCAAGCTTACAGCACCTAGTATTCCCAAGTGGTTGCCCATCTAGGTGCTGACCCAGTTCGACGTTGTTTAACTTCGGTGATCGTACGAGAACAGGTGTTTCAACGTGATGTGGCCGTAAGCATAAAATCAAAAAGAGACAGTTGAAATTTCGAGGACGCATAATGAGGAAAGGTTGGAGAATTTGACACTCACAAGACATACTGAAGGCAAGAGGTGCAGAGGGAAACCTACCTAACAAGCTTGTGCAAATGGATAGTAAAAAAAAAAGGAGTGGGGGATACTGAATAGACAAACATTACTAGCTACAATTGAGAGTAAGTGGTGGAGAACACTGATCGCCCACGGCCCGAAGGGATACGGCACATAGAAGAAGATGTTATTTTATCAGCACTGTAAAGACATTCACCATTGTTGAATTCCTAATTGCCAATATTGTATATCACTTCGTGGTTTTCTTTTATGTGCCGTGTTCTTTTTGGGCGTGGACAATAACGGCTCTTCACATCTTCCTATCCTTCGTAGCTCTTAGCAATGCTTGTCTTTTTACTATCCCCCTACGATCTGTTTTACACAAGCTACTACTCCACACTACTCCACAGCTACATGAACGGCTTAGTCGTACATAAAGCTATAACTGGAGCACTCAGCGTGATTTGTGAACTGATCTGGGAGAGAAGTTTGCTTACCATCCCGCTGTAGTTTCTAGTTATGGCGTGATTTGTGTGAGCGGTTATATATAGAAAGAAATATTAAGTAACTGTGGTTTGATAATCCCAGTTGAATTGGGAGTAACAACACTGACTTGAATGATTAAACGCTCATAATTGAGCTTACAGAAATAAGGCAAAAGAAATTCGAGACTTGGATGAGGTGAAGGGACAGAATTTACCAACATAATTCTTACATATTCGCTTTTAACTCCAACTGTCAATATTTCGCGTAACTTAGATTTGGCACAAAGTTACAATTACGAGGCATTCAGCAAGGAATGAACTCACATCTCAATAGTAATACAACCAGCAAGCCATTTCGGTACGACGAATTGCCCCTGCTATGAGACGAAAACTACTTACTTAGGTCGACATAGAACAGTTCATTTCGTGCACTTCGACGTGGTGTAAGGGTTAGTAAAATCAATTACGACTGAATAGTGAGTTCGATCCTCAATGGGATTTTCCATATTTCGGCTTTCTGCCACATCTAAGCTACGCTCAGAAAACCTCAGGGCACCTCGGCGTGATGTAATGGTAAGCAACTTGTCGCACTAGCGCAATTACGACTGAGTAATGAGTTCGATTCTCACTGGATGCTCCACACATTCAGCCTTGTGCCACATCTAAGCTACGCTTCAAAAATCATTGGGTCACTCCGACGTGGTATAATAGTTAGTCAAGCTTGTCTCGCTAGATCAATTACGACTGAATAGTGAGTTCGATCCTCAATGGGATTCTCCATACTTTCGACCTTGTGCCACATCTAAACTACGCGTAGAAAATCACCATAGAACAATGAACTAACCGGAACTGAGTTTTCAGAAAAGGAAACGCTCACAAGTGAAAACAAATATTTTTAAAATGATTGAAATTTTAAAGCAATGTATTTTTTTAAAAACCGTACACCGCGGCGCACTGTTGTGCTCCGAGATGAAATTAAGTGCGATGTAAACGAGCAAGATTATATTTCAAAATGTGAAAAATACAAAATTAAATTGGTAATAAAGTTCATAACTGTCAATTACAACTAGAGAAGACGCTTGGTTCCACTTACGGTCTTGTTATTTTAGAGGGAGGGCATCAAGTACATGAGGACAGTCTGAGCTGACTGTATGCAGTGTAACGAGCCCACAGTTTCGTAGTTGTGCCCACGAGGAATATATACAAAGAACGCCAAACATATCTTTACATGTTTCGAAGTATTCTAAGAGTAAAAAACATTTGGTAACCACTGTATTAAATTGTATTAAATGTATATTCGTTTATTGCATTTCTCATAGCTTATAGAGAACCTCTCACGATCTCCAGTCCTTTCTGAAGCTTTTATAATGCCACTTATGGTAGTAACTAAATAATAATGTATTTTCGAGGTACAACTCTTTTAATTGATCAAAGATTCATCGTTATGGGATTACCCCACTTGTCTGCCAGGAGACATTCGCTAGCGGCCGTTAGGCGTTGTTGTATAAAGCACTATATAAAGAAAAGGGTTCTCTCTTTCTCTCTCCTTTTTTTATTTCCCGGGATTTACACGGTTCGGTCATTTATTAGTACCAGGGTATCGTATATGATTCAGTGGAGACTGAGAGTTCGTTCAGGGTATAACACAAGGTTGTAGTTGATGTAGACTCGCGGGAGAAAATCAACACGCATATGTTGTCATCGATAGTTAGCCTCTACTGCTATTGCTGGTTTCGTCACTGGTCGAAGGCATCGCTGTTGATGGAAGTGCATTGGTGTCGCTGCTAATGCTCTGGGCACTCGTGTAGTTTGCCGCGTTCGGTTAATCTTGCCTGTCATGGGGTCTGTCGCTAATGCCAGGCGGGTTGAATTTCCCTTCGTGGTTGGAAACGACGTTGGTTTTATAGTGTCTCAGAAACGTAACGGAGCCGGACGAAATTAAGGTCTGTTTTTGTTATATGAGATTATGGACGTCGAAATGACACTTCCGTTTGAGTTAAAGAATTGGAGTTCCGACAGGGTACGACAAACAAAACAATATGCAAACGCCCTAAGCTAATAACACTGCCAATCCAACAAGGAACTCTTCTCAAATATAAACATCAACATCTTTAATATGTACGAATAAGGGCATTTATGTTATATTATGTATATTTTTCAGACAGGCAAACACGCATGCACGCACAAATAGCTATTTCCTCAGTGTTTATTAAATTAACTGAAATATCTGAACAATTTCCTACACTCGCCAGTGTTTACGTCGAAAACCATGTCTTTCTACTACAGACTATGAACGTGCGTGACAAGGCTTTATACTAAGTGACTAATAGTATATATTTAATGTAAAAACCTTGGCATAGTCTGACACAAGTCCAAAAGAGTTCTTTTTTGGTCATAGTCTGGAAGAAATTGTTAACCATCTCACTACAGCAATCGTATATAGACTGCAATTACAGCATAAAGAAGCAGAGACGTTGAAAATTATTGTGAAAAAGAAAAAAGTGGAGACCTTCGATATAAAGCATATGTGATGCGGGGAGGCAAAGCCATGTTTGCAAAGACAAAAGATAACCGTCTACTCCGTACAAAGCGCTTGTTTGAGCAAGTTAAAATATTTTTTTTTCTCTTGAAAAACATTGGTTAGAACGAAAAGGTCAACCAAAGAAATGGCAAATAGTTATACAAAGACACTAAAGACGTTCCAACGATCATGGACACACAGTTTCCAGCATCTGTGATGTCTTTGGGAGTCGTGGGCAGCGAGAAAGACGTTATAGCTCTTTACTTCTATCCTCGGGGCTTAAGTGTAAATGTTGCTGACTATAAGGAGATGTTGAAGAGAGTTATAAGGCCTTGGATGTGTACAAAAGAAGACCGAACACCTACCAACATGACTCCATCTCATAAAGCCAAGATGACTCAAGAATGGATGAGTTAGAATTTCTACGATCACGTCAATCCAAACATATGGACTCTTTGCTCCCTGGGCTTGAATCAGTTAGGCTACAAAGCATGGGTTGTAGTCAAGAGGAAGTCTATTAAAGCCCCATAACCAGTAGTGGCATCCTACCGGTTCGCGCAAACCTATTCTTAAAATTATAAAAGCTTAGCGAATAGGTTGTTGGATTATCCGAAAATAATCTTATATATTACCGATATATAATAGCTAAAAATATAATGAATACCATTGCTGTATGTTGTTAGAGGACAGAATGTGCCGTCATGACATTTTGTTACGTAATTGCTGAAACTTTTCATCTTCTCCTGGTCAGATTTTAAATAAACCATTCTAAAACATTATATGTCTTGTCAGGGTAGCTTAGAATACGCCATCCACGGCAGACGGGTAAGACTCTCACCAAAGGGGCCAACTCCTGGATGGATACTTTCAGATTCAATCTACCTTTTTTATTGTAGTACGTCTACATTTTTTACTCTAGTGCAAAACCGGACCAATGTCTACCTTTTTCTTTCTACCTTATGTGCACGTAAGTGAATGTAATTTCTTCTTCTCCCTCCAGCTATGGGTAAATAGCAGGACAGACCGGGTTCTATAGCCTTGGATGGTCTACCGCACAAAGAAATGACAACCTACTGCGGGAAAAATATCTATCGCATAAGCGTGTATCACGCATGGCACCTAACTGACTGAATGATCATTTGAAGTAATTATATGCCCAGGGACTTTGATGACGAATCTCTATGATTTGATAAATCTTATTTTCCCCTTTTAATGACAGTTTTGTTACACTCATGAGGATAGGGTTTCCCAGTGTAAAAGAAAATATTAATTATAATAATCATCATTGTAATTCATAATAATAACTTTTGCTAATACTTTCCTATCAGATATTGAAGAATAAAAGATAAATGAGATTTTAAAAAAGATATAAAAATCGTTTATCTCTCAATTGCATGCACAGATAGTGTAACGCATATCAGCATGGAAAGTGAAATCGGAGGCTAGAGTTCAAATTTCGAGTTAGTCTGCTGCCTTCACTTTCACACAAATACCCTTGGGAAAGGCATATGTATCCTCACCTCAGTAGCTATGGATTAAATAGGAGAGTAGATTTGGCTCTCAATTCTTCAGTGGCAACCAATCTAAGAGGAAAATTCTGAATTCCAAACCGTGGAAAGGGCAGCGGGAAATCACCTCACTATCTTTCCCAAGAATGCATGGCAATTCACAGACAAAGCAAAGGAATATGTGGCGATATCAATCCTTCATCGAACTCCGTCCTGGGCTCTCCTCTTTGTTTCAGTCCATTTGCTTCTCTATTCATTTTAATTCCAACATCTCCGGGTATGTCTTGGACTTCGACCTGTTGATTCGAGATAAAGGCTGAGTGAGTGATACTGTATTCTGATTTCAATGATGTCGTATCAAGCGGTTGGAGAAAATAAGCAATGGCTATATGTTTGGATTTTAATGACTGTTGCT